ACCAGCCAACGGCGTCAAACTTTCGCTGCAAAAATCGGTCAACTTGTTAGAGCATGAACTTATGTCCACAACTGCTTCTTGCAAACGTTCAGCCCTTCGAAAAGAGTAAAGAACAAATGATAAGCAGCACTTTTCATTGAATTTCTGACGAAATCAAGACATCATATTCAGCATAACGAAATCTTTTCGGTAAAATAATGACAACTCGAACAATAATTAGTATTTACATCTTTTACCTCTATAGGTCGTGTCTTCTTCAAGTACTCAAGTGCCTTTACAAATAGTTTGCATAAATTTTGGGTTTGCGAAAATAAAATTATTCAAATTTGCCTTCAGTATTCAAAATTTTTGATTTATGCAAACAGCTCTCGACGTTCTCTAGTCATCCCATCGCCCTAACATTGATCATTGCAAGTTGTATTCCAGCTTCCCCATGCAAAGTAAATTAATTTTCCGGGCCTATAAAAGGAAGACGGGAGGTAGTTTCTCGCATTCTTACCTTACTTCCTACCAGTGCTCGGTTCTTATTGGCGAATTTGTTGCTGAAGTGGCTGGAAAGCGCTCTTCCAAAGCCATACGTAATGGATGACGAGGCTTCTGCAAATGGCGATCAGCTTCCGACTGTCGGAGATACTGTAATTTCCACTGCAAACAGAGCGTACACAGTGGTGTCAGCGATTGGCGAAGGCAGCTATGGCACTGTTTTTCTGGCCAGAAGCGAAAAAGACTGGAGGTCATACTAACCCACACAGAAGTCATAACGAAATTCCGAGCCATTCTGAGAAAAACACACAAACAAGCATCTGAGACAGCCTTTTGCCCCTCCGAAGTTAAGAAGGGACAGAGGGGAAGTGACGGCCTGTCTTCCGAAACTCAACAAGTGTCTGGGTTCCCTTGTAGATGATGTTATTGGAGTGGTTCTTCAACCCTGGGCTGCATGTGCCGCCCGTTCGATGTATGTGAGTAATCTTTTTGGAGGTGGCCCACGTTGTGGTTCAAATCTTTCTTGTGAGTACCAATCGCTAATGAGTGACGTACCCGGCAAGGCAAGCAGTACGCCCTGCTCGTCGAGTCCGATTTTCTTACATGGCCACAATGATAACAGTTTAATATTGTTGCGGAATAAAATTCGTAATTCTGAATTTTGTGGCCTGAGCTAACAACGGGTAACAAAGAAAGAACCAATGAAGCTCTATTTGGTGGCCGATGAAAAACGAGTTGATTCCAGGAAACAACTTATTTTTTAGACGGATGGGCAAGGGCAGAGGGGGCAGAGAAGAGAATGATTGAGATAACGCCATAGTTTTTCCTGTAGCAGTATTCCTCAGTGTGCTCGTAGTTTCAGAG